GTAGAACAAGCAGTTTCATTCATTTCAATTTGCTTAGCCTTATCTTCTGATTCAAGGAAAATACCAGTGACAGCTCTGAAAACTTTTTGCTGTATTAAAACACACTTTATTTTCTGTTTCCAAATATCAAAATCCGTTTTTCCATTAAATGGAAGCATACCATACTGATTTGCAGCCATGGTATCAACCACAAAGGAACACAAAGCTAAACAGACTGAATTGACAGAAAAAAATCCAACCCGGGCTATGAAGTATTCACTTTAATAACCCCGAGCAGCATGCAACACATAGCAAAAATGGACATTTTGGCAATTAAACAATTCTAGGCAGCAATTAAATTTAATTAATTCTACCCCTACCACCCAATAAACCACCCCTACGCATAACAATTAAATTAAATAACACTTAGCAATTTAATTAATCAACTAAAACAAACTGCCACAAAGGAGTGAGTTTAGAAAACATACCTGGGGGGTTGGCGGTCGGGATTAAATCAACCGGCGGCCCGCGGGGAGGGGGAATAAATTAAATTAAAACCGGAATGCTATAAATAGGAAGTTTATCGGAAACTTACCTTCGCGAAACCCTAGGAGAGCGTTTCGTCCTTACCTACCCAATTTAAAAAAAATTGGGATTTTTCTGAAAGTTGACTGACTGTTGACCGGCGTTGACTTTCGTTGACTGGCATTGACCGGCCGTTGACCGGTGGTGGTTGACTGGCGTCCAGCAAGTCAGCAGCAGCTCCAATCCAGTCCAGCTACCAAGCTCCAGCAACAAAGCATCTCAGCTCCAGTAGCTCCCCAGGTCCAGTGGCCCAGTCCAGCAGCTTCAGGAATCCAGCAGTGCAACCCAGCGGCGCAAAAAATCAGCCCAGCAGCCCCTGGTCAAAGTTGCGTCTTTTGTACGCCAGACCTGCGAAATGAAGGAAAAAAAAACAATCCAGCGACAATCCCTTTGCTCCAGCGGCTTGCGGACCAGCGAGGAACGACCACCGGCGGGAGCCCAGGCGACGGCGGCGAGCTCTGGACGGCGAGCTATCTCCGGACGTCGAGTTTTGTTTCCAGAATTCCAGCTGCAGCGAGCTTCCCTGCGGCAGCAATCTTTCTGCGGCGGCGGTGGATTCACCTTCTGGATCGTTTCCGGCGGCGAGCTTCCGTCGATTTCAGCGATAGAAAGTCAGAGAGCTCGTGAACGACCAGCAACTCCAGCGACCACAGCTAGCTTCAATCGGCAGTGGCGGACGGCGGCGGCGAACGGCGGCAGACGACGGTTCCATCTCTGATACCACTGTAAGGACCGTTTCCGTCTCCGGCTCAGGTCTTTCAACACACACTCTCACACACCACACTAAGAGGAAGCTATAGCACACCCAAATATTACTCTCCACTAAGGACCTATCTATTCTCACACAGAGGAGGAAGAAAGGGAGCTCTGCTCTCTGGGATACAATACTCACGCAGGCTGCTTCACAAAGGGAGAAGCAAGGGGTACAAATACTAGGCTGCCAGCTAGAAGAGAAGTCACGGGTGAGGTCAAAACAACAAACACTCACATGCTACAAAGACAAGGCAAAGTCACATGTATAGGCCAAGACAAGGTGGATGCAGCGGACAGAACACAAAGGGGCCAGCCAAGTGGATAAGTTAACCCTCAAACAGGTATATTATTGATCAGATAAAATACCAAGGTAAAGGTACCAAAGTGGGAGTAAAACAATAGGGTGCAAGCCTCAGCAAATAAAGTGGAAGGGAGACTTGGTAGGACCAATACCTCCAACAATTAGAAACTCCTTTCACAAAATTGTAAGGATAAATAATACTCTGTATAAGAATAAGAATATGTGCAAAGTGAGGATTTATTATAAACATGTATAGAATAGTACAGAAATAAAATAAAGGAGAGGTTTAACTATATGAGTGTAAAAGGGAGAGGAGAAGATAGGTCGCTTGATTTGGAGAAGATAGGTCGCTCGATTTTCTGGAGAAGAGTTAGAAGACTTTACTACTTTGTATTAGGTTAAAAGTTAAACTTGAAAGTAATTTTAGTGGGCCGGTCCAGCTTATTACTCGTATGATATTAATATACGAAGTAATATATTATAGTTATATACGTTATGTTAATACGAAGTACTTCGGTTCCTATATAGGAACTTCGGTTCCAACATGTTGGCGGTTAAAACTGGAACCGAACCGTATTAATATCTTAGGAACCGAACCGAAAATTTTACAAGTCAAAACATTTAGGAACCGAAAATTTTACAAGTCAAAACATTTAGGAACCGAATCGAACCAGTAATATCGGTTCGGTTCGGCTCGGTTTTCCCGGTTTTCCGGTTCTAAGTCCCAGGCCTACTCTAATTACGTAGTGAGTTAGTGCCCAATCATGAAGTACCATCTCATTATCTCAATTGCCCAAAGAATGTTCTAAAACTCTACTTGTACACCATTCCTATATATGCGTTTACAAACGTTATATAACCTTCTTTCTTATTGTTTTCTTTTTTACTCTGTATCCTTTTTCTCTGCATTCTCATGTACTTCATGCCCTTCCTGCACGCTACTTCGCCCGAAACTTCTACCTTTCTTTTTCCTCTTCATTTTTCTGCAACTCTCCATTTCCAAATCAATATTTTTACAGACAACTTTTTATACTCGAGTTACTCTGTCAACTCTTTTTCAGTTTTCGACTCATAGATTCAGACCTTGTTGCCTCTGGCCTCCAAGTATCGATCACCGATGAAACCCCATGCCTGTTCAGCCACCACTTTCCCTTACCAACACCGCCTAAGGTAATAACTCTCTTCTTTTTCTCTAATGTGATTTAGTGTTTTAATTTTATGTGATAGGGTGGTATAGTAATACTAAAGAAACCGGGGATGAATGACAATGTAGATGAGTACGGATTTGGGAAAGGGTAATGCAGAAGGAAGAAAATAAAAGAGGTAAGGGATAATTAAGAGAGGGAGAGAGGAGTGTACGAGGAGAGAAGAGAGCGGAGAGTAAAAAGTATGGAGAATGCAATGAATCTCACTCTTAAAAGAGAATTAGGGCCAGAATGTCAAGTACCTTGATTTTAAAGTAGTCCAATCTCTAATACTCAAAATTAAACACGATAACAATTAAAAAAGACTAAGTATTCACATGAGAGGCTTTTTTGGCTAAAGGGTCAAGTAGACAAGTAGGTCTTTATACTTCCCACATTTGCACACTTCGGTCTCTGAATTAGAAAATGACTAATTCGCACCTTGAAGTCTTGAACTAGTAAAAAAAATTCAAATTCATTTTTATGACACTAATTATTAATCACGTCATTCTGTCAATCGCTGACACGAAACAAAATGTTTAAATAAGCTTATGAACATGTCAAGTTTGTTCAACTCAACCCATAAATTATTAAAAAAATGTCAAAATTGCAATAAATTCAAAAAATATAATAAATGGAGAGATAATTGGGCATTTATACGTTTGTAGTATGTATCTTTAAATCAATGTTATAATTTACAAAAATAAAGTTTATATCCTTTTTTATTTTCTATAAACTTATCAACGAAGTGTCTCTAAGAATAACACAAAAGACGAATAACACGAAAATCCATATAATTTGATGTCAATTCAATACATATTTCATTTACGATAGGATCTTATTTTTTACTTCATCATGTTTTATATATTAACCCCTAAAGTGGCACACACTTTATGTTGGAAATTTTGAAAATATTTCAAATGAATAAATTATTATTTCTATTAATTGTGTTTTCTACACTATTTTATAATATGTAACGAAACATATTATTCAATTTTGCATACATATAACGTATGCATGAGTATGATATTCATTTGTCCATATGTAACCTTCACTTCTAATTAATTACTATTAAGTTATTCCATTAATGTTGTATTTAATATTAAAAATTGTGCCCAACCTATAAGCAACCAATTGGTGTCTTAAATTATATAATTTGTATATATACCCCTAATGCATGTTGCTATGGAAGAATTTTTTGTGAAACAGGATTACATACATGTATACATATAGTTGTTGCGTGCTCCTATTAGAAAAGGTTTAAGCTTCATGCTATTTGGGAAAACAGGAGTATTACATATAACTACCTTATAAGTGTTTATCATCAAAAATAGTTTATTGTTGGGTTCATATACTAATTTCTTCTCGTTAGTTCTGGTACCGGTTTTATAACCGAAGGGCTCGTTATATCTTGGGGGAAATTTCCGTACGTCGGAAATAATTCCTTAGGACAGCATCTGACGCGTCTCGAGCCACTAATATATTCTTAGTTCTTTTTAGTGATTATTTTGCAGGTGAATTAGCGGAGCTAGATGGTCAATGAGGTCAATTGAGGAGAAACACGTTGAATTTGGAAGGATAGAGCCAACACTTTATTAAAAATAATAGGAGTTATTAACTTATTCTATTCTATTTTTAGGCTATATATAGCCATTTCTCTCAAAATCTAAATACATAAAAACTATAACTGAACAAGTATAAATAAAAAATTTAAACATAATTTTAAAGTTTACTTTCACATATTACATATATGATTATTTTACATTTATATTTTATGTTTAAACTTTAATTTGGTTTTATATCTTTTAATTTATATACTACATATTATATTTCCTAATCCAGAATATTCCCTTATGTTTTATGTTTATATATTTTATTATTTCGGGGTGGGATGTGGAAGATTTGTTGTTTAAATTATACTTCAAAAAAAAAGAAGACGGGAATTGAACCGAACTGGAACAAAAAATGGCCGAGTGGCCCAGAACCGGTCTAGCCATGTGTCCATCTATGGTCACCACAACCCCCAACCAAGCACTGGCCAGTCCAGGACCAAAATCAAACCGTAAGTATCAGGTGAATCTAACTAATAGATCAGAGCGATGAGTTTTAAATAGCTAGCTAGCCTAACCTAACCTAATGTATTATCCGCTGTGAGATCAAATAATTTTGCCAAAACACAATGTAACAACAATGAGATTGGAATGTATAGATAGACAGTTCATTGGTACGCAGAACAAATGTAGAAGTAACATGTATAGAGAAGGTTCAGCCACCAAACAATATAATACTCCCTAGTCAATTACAACACACCACCAAAGTGTAGCTAGGTACACATGTAGTATATAAATATATATAGTGGCCGGCTGACCCGAAGAATAATGAGGCCGAGTACCTGGTGCATTAATAATCACTCCCTCTATCCCACCAAATTTAGAGATATTGACTTTTGTAGGTAATAATGAAAAAAATTGAAGAGAGACTTTAGTTGCCATGTTTGTGTAAAATTTGTGAAGGAAAAAATAAAAAAGGTTTCTCATATTTTAAATAGTTTTGTATTAAAAATAGAAAGTGTAATTGATGAAACTTGATACGCTACAAAAAAACACGGGATTGACAGAGATTTTTGGTAGGGCTTTTCCGAAATTATCAAGCATTTTGGCAGGGATATGCAAACTCCGTACCAAAAAGAATTTGACACGAACTATTTGCACAAATTGGCACGAAACTATCGAAAAACCCAGGTCAAATTCATGCCAATCCCATAATTTGTTTGTAGTGATTTTACTTTTGACCAAGAGAAAAAGTAAATATAGCCAAACTTAGTGACATGGGGGAGAGAATAAATTATGGTCATTGTTGTGGTGAACTGCGGGTGGGCATTAATTGCAAGCAGGCAGGCGCAAGTCCGGCAGTCGAACAAAAACAATGGAATAGGGCGCCACAGTTATGTTCTGCACCGAAGGGACAGTTACCGGGTCCAATTTGTCCGGGACCCCGCTCAGTTGTCTCCCGTTTAGCCGCACGGTTCGGCTGCTTAAATCTCCCGCCTGAGCTGGCTTCAAGTGATACTCTTCTCTGGTATAATTGGCCGTTGGGTTTCCATACCCGGCCGGCCAAGGGCATGCTCCCCACGTATTCTTGCCCACGCATTTTAGTGATAATGTGTCAATTGTGACATTGGTGCTACCGTGTAAGTTCATCAACAACATCGTTACTCCTCCCTGCCGCCATATATGCATGCAAAAACATCCCATATTAGTAAGGTTTTCATACACTAACTAAAACTGATTCTTAAATTAAAATTGATTCTCCTCTTTCAGGGAGCAGAAACAGAAGTTGAAGTGTTTGGCTAAAAGTGTAGAAGTGATTCTGATCCTCTAACATCCCCTAAGCGAACTTCCTTTTTTATATAATCCGTACTAATCTTTACCATATATATATTACCTACACCTTCTCAAATTGTTTTGGAAAGTCAGCATTTTTTGTCAATCAATTTTAGAGTTAAATTCTCTCCATAGGTAATTAGTTCAATTTTAACATTTACAATTTACATATTAAGAAACTATATTAAAATATCTATAAGATTGTAAAATCCAAACTAAAATTTAATTAAGACTTGATATCCCAAGTGAATAAAATAAATGTGTCTGATCCAAACAAATCAATTTTGCAGCTCAATTTGAGACTATATTTTCATTTGGTTTTAGCAATTACCCATGCACTTCTTATAAGTTATAACTCATATGCGTAGATTGTTGTTGCTCGTATTATAATATGGAGACTTTTTGTGTAGTCTCCTAAGGTCTGTGTCTGCCTCAAACTTTGTCACTGGTACGAATTTGTTCATATTAAGATTTTTCCACAAAAATATACGAGTACTATTTTTGTGTAGGTTACGTACATTTGTGTTTGGATTATTTGTCTTTGAACAATGGATATAACCACGTATCACGCCGCTGTTGGTCCCTACAAAAGCTGTGGCGAGCGATTTGGGTCCCATCAATTTGTGCCAAAGAAGAGCACTGCACACAAGAAAGGCCAGGCCGAGAATTCAAGGGTATAAATAAATAAATAAATACTCCGTAAATAAATAAAATATTCACCCGATCGAGCTAATATTAATTAGTACTAATTAATGAGCAGTATAATTTAATTAAAAAACGAAGGGCCAGCCGGGCCTGGAACTAGGGCTGGGCACGGGCCGGGTCGGGGCGGGTAATACAAAATAAAATGGAACCGCCGGTTCCATTGTACGGTTCGGTCCGGTCCGGGTATTACAATTTTCAAAATAAGAACCGCAAATTACCCGGCCCATTTGAAACGGGTCGGTCCGGTCCGGGTTTTACAGTTTCTATTCTCATGTCTTGAAATTAGTAAAAACTCACGAAGTTCCAAAAATCAATAATCAATAATATAGGACATTAGCAAGTTTCAAAATAACAACATAGTGGTGCATATATAACACAAGTGAAAAGTCCAATACTCCATATTTTCTTGTATATAAGTTTCAAACAATTAAAGAAATTCCAAAAATATGCAACATAGCCAAAATACATATTTTCTAACATTTGCATTTAAACATGTTATCTAACATCACATATTTAAGTGATTGCTTTTTTTTATATTAAATTTTCAGTATTAGCCAAAGTTGACACATACATGGTGGGTGGTAAACACAATTTATATGTTTTAATAACAATATAACAAAAAAATATAACAAAATCGTCTTTAACAAATAATTAAATTCGATAGAAAGGAATAATTCAATAACAATAAAAAGTAAAAAGATATTTATGAAACATTTAATCAATAATTTGAAAACAAAAGGATGTTACTGCAACTCAATTTAAAATCCTACTTCTAGCACAGGAAACAAAATTATTTCAAAACCGATTATCAAAAAACTATTAATAAATTAATATACAATATATATAACGGGCCGGGCTGGGTACCCGTTATTTTTTAATTTTGGAACCGGTCCGGTTCCTTAAAAAAAATTACCCGACCCTACCCGGACCGTTTTATGGAAACAAAAAATGGAACCGGCCTGTTTTGGACCCTAACCGCCATTACCCGGACCGGACCGCGGTTCCAAGACCCGTTTGCCCACCCCTACCTGGAACAACAAAAGATCGACCGATCAATCGGATGGCTGTTAATTAATTATTAATTGCATGCATTTCAAATTAAAATTTAAATTAAAAATTACGAACGTACCTGTAGTAATCGGGATTTGGGAGGAAGGTAGTAGCGTCAAGTAAACCGTAGTTCCCTCCGATTAGTGTCTGTCGGCAGTATGTTTTTGTGTCATACCGGGCCGACGTCCCAAGCTGGTCCAGGTACCTATATATTCGGGCCATCAATTTCATTATTCTGTTTGCTTTTAATACTCCGTATATAAAAGCAAATGATGCAAATTTTAGCATCATTTGATGGGAGGATGTAAATTGGACTATAATCACAATCTGACAGATAGAGAGTGAGACTCTGTCCCCAGTACTTGCAGAAGTCCTATGCATTTTTCAGCATTGTAAATGAGATCATCAAATTGGGATGGAGGGAGTAGTATACACTATCTCCTGTCCCATAAAGTAGTTTTCACTCCAATTTGGACTGAAGTTTAAGAAAATGAGAATAAAGTGGAAATGTATGATTGTGATTGAGCAAAAAAAAAATAATACACCAAAAGATATGATAGCCACACAGGGGCAGAGCCAGGGCACCGGGTCAAACTGGGCAGTACAAAGAATATTTTTGAAAATGTCTTTACACGAATTTTATTACACCAAAAATATATACATTTTTAAAATTTGGGCTAGGTCAGGACTAGATCCGGCCCTCCCCCGGCTATGCCCCTATTCACAGAAAACTTTTCAAAAAGAGAATTGCGAACTATTTTCTGAAACATCCAAAAAAGAAAGTGGAAACTATTTTTGGGATAGAGGGAATATATGCAAGAAAGTACAACAAAAGAGAGAGTGATTTTATCCATTATACTTGGTACCTATTTTGTCCATTTCGCTATATATACTACTGTACATTATATTGGTTCTTAAATAAATACTATAGACAACATATTGAATTTTTACACTATTCACATGTTTTACTTTGATTACTTTTTTATTTATTGTTTTCTTAAATAAATATTGTTCAATTCCTCGCATTGTAATTAAAATTTCAATTTTTTTAATTTCTTTTACTAATAGAGAATTATACTATTATATATCAGTGGTTAAAGTTGTGCATTAGCAAACGTGAAAATAAAGTTGATTATTGCATTTATTTAAGAACGGAATCACAGTTAGTTACATTATAGAGAAAATTTGTTATATAAGACTAAAACATAAACAAAGTGCACATGTAAGATTATCATTGTTTTCTTTATTCACACCTAATAGGGGAAGCTTAATAATGACGGGAATAATAGTATGGGCTTTTGACTTGACAAAAATGGGACTTGATCTTGAATTGGACAACAAAGTGATTAAATATTAGGTACTAGACTAGTATGCCCTTCATCTCCCGTAGCCCTCCCATCCTGTCTGCTCACAATCCGCACCAAACACCTTCTGGTGGCAATTCTGGAAGTCGCACCAAACTCTCCCGACGGCGCTCGTCTCTCCATAAGGCTGGCGACTCATCCATCCGACATCTGGTACAAGCGGCTCCACTCCTTTCAACTCCTCCGTCGCGACTGCGGTCGCCCATCCATGTCCGTCGGTCTTCTCCTCCTCTAGGATGGCTATGGAAGACACCGGCGGTCAATAGAAGATGACGATATGATGGGAGACTACGACTGCTGGTTGCAACGATTTCTCTAGCCGATGTTCTTCTTCATCACCATCGCTGAATCTAGATCTAGATCGGTTATTCTTCTGGCTATTTTTCTCCATTTTCGATTAATTTTGTAACGATAGCGAGTATCATCTTAGGCAAAGGATTTGGACATGCTGTCGAAAGGGGTTGGGAGAGGAGAGGGACGAGCCTAGGTTGGGTTGGGGGCAGAGCATTAGATTGAGAGGCTGGGGGATGGGGCGTGGTAGTGCCGGAGGGGCAGGGGTTGGGGTCAGTCCCGATGAAGCACGGGAGGGGGCTAAGGCGACCCAGGGAGACGGCTGGGTGGCGCAGGGAAGGGGGCTGTGGTGTGGTGTTGGGGGTTGTGGTCGAAGGTGGTGGTCGGAGGTAATCTTTGTCTAACGGCAAATGGTCGCACATGGTAGCTTTAATTGGTCAAATTAGATAAAACAGGTAACTTTAATTGGCGTATTGATTAACTGTAACTCGTAGGTCAGATAACTATAACCGGAAGGCGTGTAAATGTAACTGGCTGAATCGGGTAGTTATAATTGGTCCGGTCGGGTAGTTGTAACTGACGATTTGAGTAATTGTAACCGGTTTGGTCAAGTAACTGTAACTAGTTGGATTAGGTAACTATAACTGGTCAGATCGGGATAACTGTAACTGGTCGGATTTGGTAACTGTAACTGGACGACGGATTTGGTAACTGTAACTAGACGACGGATTTGGTAACTGTAACTGGATTTTTGGTCACTAATGATTTTGGTCACTGACGAATTTTTGGATTTTTTGTCACAAATGATTTTTGGTCACTGGGTGGATTGGTCATGGTCACTGGACGGGTTGACGTTGGTAACTAGGTAAAAATTTTGGTCACTAATGATTTTGGTCACTGACGGATTTTTGGAATTTTGGTCACAAATGATTTTTGGTCATTGGGTGGATTGGTCACTGGACGGGTTGACGTTGGTAACTAGGTAGAATTTTTTGTCACTAATGATTTTGGTCACTGACGAATTTTTGGATTTTTGGTCACAAATGATTTTTGGTCAGTGACGAATTTTGGTCACGATAATGGTTTTGGTCATTGTGGCGTTATTGTAGACTAATGGGTGAGATTCTATTGAAATAAGGGTATAATAGTCTCTTAACCCATTGTTAGTCTCATTTTTGGAAAATTGAAATAAAGGTCTCTTTTTTGTTCATAGTTCTTTTTTTAGTACTTCGTATTATTTTAGACATAACCCCTACTTTTAATAGGATGAAAAAAGTCTGATTTCGAAAATAAAATATATGTAGTCCTATATAATGCATTGCGTAAATTTTAACTTACCAGAAACTATTAACGAATGCGTTTGACGCGTTGGGCGCGCCGCTGTTGTACGCCCCTCCAGATTCGCCCACCCAAGCAACGACTTTGTGCCTCCGGGAGGGATTGTAGTTTTTAAGAAGTTCATGCAGTGGAATGAAGTCATTGTTTGCTGAAAAATTAGCAACCGTTTCCAGGATTTTGCCTATCACGTTTTTACTGCTCCCTGTTTTATAATATGCTATGTATAATTAGCCGGCAATGAAGAAACATCCACAAAATATATTACCTGCATATTTCAATATGAAGTGCGGCCCATAAAGTAATAATTTTGAAAAAAAATGTTTAATAGATCGAAATACATAACTTACACTCACAAAAAATATAAGGATAGGACTATCGGAGTGTTGAAGTCTTACACCGGAAATCTATAAAGTAACAAAGTGCTGTATTAAGATTTGAACTACTCCTCCTGTAAGGTTGACCTTTTAGGATGGAACCTTGGGTCTTAACATGATATCAGAGCCAAACCGATCCATAACCATGGTGTGGGTCATTATAACAAATGACGACACGATTATAAAAAATGTCAATGACGAACTGAACCGATGAAAGAATGAATGACGGCACGATCCAGACGAAGTGTCTGGTCGTGAGGAGGTGTGTTGACGTCCCACACCATAAATCTATAAAGTAATAAAGTGTTATATTAAGAACTGGACTATTCCTTCTATCATGTTAACCTTTTAGGATGTTACCTCGAATCTTAACAAAGAGTGGATTCTTAATTCCAAGTAGAGTAACCTAATTAAATGTTCATATAAAGAGACCAAACAACATGCATGCATGTAATCTAATCTCCTGTTTGTACGTTTCTCCATTGTTTAGTTCTACGGAGTATGTTTCACGCTCCCGTTGTCTGCCAGAGTTTTTCAGTTTAAAATAGTACACCGATCTTATAAAAAGATCTTGTTTTGTTTGTAGTGGGTCGGGGCGGGGCAGATAGTAATGGGATGTGATGTGACGGGGGAAGGGGCGAACCCTGCCCCAATCCCGCCTCATTGTCATCCCTAAGTGAATGTGTCTTGTTTTAATAAGAAAACAATTGTGATTCTATTTATACATGCACCTTGTCTACATTTGAGTTCTATTTGTTGGGGAATTGTATCAAATAAGGAGTAATAAAAAACGTGAACGGAACTGGAATGGCCAGACACACGCTGGCGCGTGCACATACATATAAAACTATGCGTACTACCTTCGTCTCGAAATGGTTCGCCATATCGATCAAGAAAAGTACGCCAATTTGGCTAATCTTTTGGGAACACGCTTAGTCTTTGGACAAAAATGTATATGTAGTTAGATAGATACCTTCACCGAGATTATATATGTGTTGAGTAATGACGTCCAGAGTGTCGTTGGTTTTACTTAGATACTCTTCGAACCAATGTGCATCATAGAACCCTCCAGGTGCTATGATTAGCGGCTTGTAACGTGAACTGGAGTAAATCTTTTGGATTATGTGGTGAAAACGGATGGTGTCGTTAGCATACTGATCTGCAGATATCTTTGCCCCTATTGCGCTCTTTCCAACTAACTCATTCCCTGATTATCGAACCATGACAAAAAAAGCAGCAAATCTTAGCTTATTTAACACATTATATGGCTTATACGAAGTATTTCATCATACTTTAATTTCATCAAATCTTAGATGAGTACAACATTAAGAAATACGAAGTACTTGTGAGGTATAATTACCGAATTCCCAAGCGATGATAGGATATTTCCTATGAGCAGAATATCGAATGAGAAACTCAGCATTTGTTGAATTCCAGTCTCCCGTAGTAGAACCGTCCAAATTTACGTGTCTTCCATATAGAGCATTCAAGCCAAAAATGATGGCAGCACTGAATAACGAAGAACACAATCACAGTTAGTAATGATCAATTAGCTAGCTAGGTATATTGATGATCAAAATTGGGCATTTATATAAAGTATAATACTTATTATTGTTACATACCGTGATCTTTTGAAGAAGCGATTTAGTTCATCCCATCTCGACAAAGGTAAGCACCCTTTAGTAAACTCAAATAATTGTGCGCGGTCAGATTGAAATGGCTTGCATGTTTCATTAACACTCGTTTGGTAGATGACCTTATCTTGTAAAGTGCCACCCAACCGAATTCTTAAAGGAGAGAATGCTGCAAAGATATAATTGGTTTTATTATGATAAAGATAATCTCATCAATTCTCGGAGGGGTACGTTAATTCCAATTCAAATTGATGCATTTTAATTTGTCATCTTAGACGCATTGGATTAAATGTTTCACAACGTGTAGTGAGAAGATTAATTATATTTTAAAAAAAATTAATGCTTTTGTAACTTAAATAAAATATAGTTAAAGTAGACCGCATGAATAATACAAAATTTCTAATATTGCAATTATTTAAGAACAGATCGAGTACGTATATAAATATGGGTGGATTTAAACAAAAACGTTGCCTACCTTTTATTGCATTTGAAAGAGTGGGATGACTGATGAGATCCTGCACGTAAGCCAGAGACGAAAAAAAAACACATCGATAAAAAGATCACTTATCATGGATGGAAATTTTCAAAACATCTTGCTGATTGTTTTAAAAAAGAATTGAAGAGGGAAATTAAAGGATCAATTTGTGAAGAAATACATCCCCCGAAGAAAATATACATTTATGATTAAAATAAAAGTTGTCTATAAAAATGTGACCAATTAAGCTGTGCAGTGATTATAATGTTTTATGTTCAATTTTTACTTTTAAATAATCATGATATTATATTCATATTAACTTTAGTCATACTTTATAAATACGGATTATAATATTTTATGTTCAATTTTTACTTTTAAATAACCTTGATATTATATTCATATTAACTTTAGTTATACTTCATAAATACGGACCAAGTTTTTTCCAGTAATATTTATGAAGTAATACAAATAATAATAATAATAATATATTTTGTTTGAAAGAAGAATAGTAATACTACGTATTTTTATATTAATAAATCATAATAAAAGCTTAATGGCATTAAAAAGGATTATACTCCGTATATATTGTTCTAAATCTCGAACTAAAGGAGTGTTTGTTATTGCTTAAAATAAGCTCTTCTTAGCTTTTAACTTAAAATAAGCTGAAAAAGTGTTTGCTAATGTCTACTTCTACTTTAAAAAAGAACTTCAAAGCTAAAAATTGGAAGTTGGTAGAGAGGTGCTTTAAACTACTTTTTATTTTTCTATTACACAAAAAACACTTATTTTATCAAACACTATCAATTTTTACTATTAAACACTTTTTTCAAAATCAATTTAAAAAATCACTTTTTAAAAGTAAAAACAACCGCAGACATGTCTCGTAGGAAGGTGCGCAAAGCCGATTTTAGCTGTCAAAATATCTGGCTAGCGCCTAGGCCGTCCATGATTGGTCCATTTTATTACTTTTCTATGCAATGTTATTAGCTAATTAGCTATTTCAATGTTCAATTTAATCGCAGCAACGTTTTTTAATACTAAAAACATGATGAGAGTTCATGGAAGCGTATACCATACAGTCGGCTGTACTGCTGACACCGTACAGCCGGTGGCATTTTTGTAAATAATGATGAAGTTCATGGTTTCTCTTAAATGAGCATTGATGTTTGTTGGATGAGCATCGAGTCTGTTCTTCTGAGTATTAAGAGCCTAACAATGAGCACCAATGATCTCTGCTTCATACCTTCTAATTCAGTTTCTTTTTATTATTTTTTCGTTTATAAAAAATCTTAGATTATGTTTATAATTAATTTTAATATGTGAATATAATGTAGTATGATATGTTTGATATGTGCATCATTTTAAAATGAGTATAAAGTAGTACGAAATGATCATATATAATTTACAAAATGAGTATCAAAATATTCAAAAGCTCATTTGTGTATGCTCATTGATTTTGGGCGTTATATTTGATATGTGCAACCTTTTAAAATGAGCCTAAAACAGTACCAAATGAGCATTACATAACTTACAAAATGAGTATAAAAAAATTAAAAAACTCATTTGTGTGTGTTCATCCATTTTGGGCGTTATACTCATTGGAGTTTAACATAAAACTCATTTCTAATTTGTTCAATAGTCATTTGTGTATGTTCAATTTTTTTTAAGCGTAGACTCATTTGAGTTTAATATAAAGCTCATTTGAGATCACTAATATCAAATGAGTACACATTAATTACAAAATGAGTATTCAAAAATATCAAAAACCTCATTTAAAATGTGTACAATGCTCATAATTTCTTTTGTATATGTCCATATATGTACAACTAGGTATAGCTAATGTTTCTCCTGAGTTAAAGCCAAACAAGTTACCAAAAACATTGAACCTAAACGGAAAGAGTTCAAAAAAAGAAAAGAAAGAGCGCAGCCCTATTCATCCGTCGGAGTTGTGGTCTTTGCGCACAAGCCGGAGTCTGAGTCCGTTTTTCTTGCCAGATCATTGCGAGTCTGCGACAACGAGCAGCAGCGAATAGGGAAGGGAACGATCGAGCAAGCAGCCGGAGAAGGTAGCGAAGCTAGATCGAAGAAGGAGAAGGTAGCGCGCATAAGCCCAGAAGGAAAGAAAACGCCGGCTGTACCGTGCGCACAGTACAACCGGCTGTACGATGTATTTTACCAGAGTTCATGGCCCTCCCGGTAGTTCGAAAAATGGAGATGTTTGGTTTTGGAAGGTTCATGTGATAACCTAAAACCAGAGGTTTTGACGGGTAATAAATTACTTCCTCCGTCTCGTTATGATTATCTCATTTTACTTTTTTCGAGAAATCCAATTAAACTTATCTCATATCAAATTTGATATCTTATTTTATCTCCTCTTGTTCCGGTGTTAGTGGAACGGAAATAGTAAATCATAATTTGAATTTAATTTAAAATGAATATTAGTTCAATTATTTGAATTCGTCATATCTAAAAGATAGTTTTAATTTCTTCAAAAATCTCTTTTTCAAAATTATTATTCTGAAACGAGAATATGACTTTCCTTCTCTCATTCCCCTGAATTCCCCAACATACCCTAAAAATTACCTTCAAAACATTCATCACCCCTTCTCCCCAAATTCCCCAACATACCTTAAGGGTTGATGAGAAGGTTGATGCGGGTTTAATTTATAACTCTCCTTTTCAAGTTTGGGAGTTGAAAATTTTGGAGGGGTGTTTTGTAGGGCTTTTGCATGCCTCAAAATCCTCTAAATGCTCAATTTTTAGTTTCCCTAATTAGAAGGGTTTTGAAGGAGAAGTAATGAAATGATAATTTAAGCTCAATTAAAAATGAATATCAGTTCAATTTTTTTTAGTTCGTCATATTATCTCAAAATGATTTTTTAGTTCGTCATGTCTCGGAGGAAGGTGCGCAAAGCCGATTTTAGCTACCGCCTAGGCCGTCCACGATTTTAGCTCTCGGAGGGGGTTTTACGCATGAATAATTATAACACAGGGGTCTTTGATGCATTTTTTAAATCACATGTATTAAACCCGAGTTATTTTATTCATAGAAAATTTTTACCTTTGACTCTAGCAAATTAGCTATTTCAATGTTCAATTTAACCGCAGCAACGTTTTTTAAAACCAAAAACATGATGAGTGTTCATGGCACTCCAGGCAGTTTTGGAAGGTTCATGTGACCCTCTAAAAAACCCCTCAAACGTTTAATTTTAAATTCCTAAAAACCGAGGTTTTGAAGGATAATAAACTACTTCCCCCGTTCCTTTAACATTGTTTCATTTTATCTTTTCAGAAATCCCACAAAGATTGTCTCATACTAAATTTGGTAAAGTTTGCTTGATTATAAATCATTTTTACTTTATTTTTACTTTATGTTAGAGGGACGAAGATAGTAAATCATAATTTGAATTTAATTTAAAATGAATATCAATTCAAAAAAATGTCGTCATGTTTCAAAAATAATTTTAAATATAATATCTTGAAAAACTCTCGTTTTCACAATGTACTACTCTGAAATACTTCCTCCGTTCCATTTTAATTGCAACAGTCAACATTTCACGTTTGCCAACGCACAAGTTTGACCATTAATATTTTTCATTCCTTATTAGTAAAAAATTTAAAAAATTCATATTTTGAAAATTAAGAATGAGAAGAATTTAACAATATTTTTAAAAAATTTAATTTATAATACATTAATAAATAAAATACAGTCAAAGTAAAATATGTGAATAGTGCAAAAAGTCCAATTTGAGAAGAGAATTTTCTCAAATTCCCTTCTCTTTCTCCTCCAACCACTTACCTTTTCATAGTCTTCATCTCTCATTCCCCCAAACACCCCAACATAACATACCCTAAAATAAAATACCTTCGAAACCTTCATCTCCCCTTCTCCCCAAATTCCCCTAACATACCAAGGTACTACTTGGCTTGCAAAGAGATGGAAGACGTACCAAATTTAGGAGAGAAGCATTGGCCCAAGGACAGTTCTGAGTCTTACTGTCACACTTAGTTTGAGGCCACCAATCCAAGGTAGCACATATGAAATCTTTGTCTGTTGTTCCTGCGGCACTGTCACCAACCACATATACTGTCCCATTCCATGCCACGCCATCTACAACCAGACTTCCATATCCAGAAACGAACACCGCCCATATTGCCCACCAAATAACCCATGACTCGCCCATTATCATATTTCT